ATAGTAGCTGTTTTCAATATTATTAATTTGCTTTAAACTTAAAACATGATTTTTCACTAACACAGTGACTCCTTGGGAAAGAGGAAGGAGATGCCATGTCATTATGCTAGTCTCAAATTTTCCCGTCATTTCTTCATCTCCTTCGGGCTGACAGGGAAGGGAGCTCATTTCCCCCCCAGGTTAGCTCTTCTGACAGGACCACAGGCTCAGATATCTCCCTTATGGTGGCCTCATTTCTGCAGCCTGAAAACCAAGCTCAAAACTCTGTGCAGGGAACCCTGCCCTGACCTTTGATTGCGCCCCCCCACCCTCCCCACGCCATAATCCACTTTCGCCCTCAGGGCCAAACTTCTCTGCCTGAAGTCCCTTACAGGCATCTCTTTAATCTTCTGCAAACTAGTTTCTGCTTCTAAAACTTTTATTTTAATCCTCACCACACCCTATGAGATACGTAGTAACATCCCTTTTGCAAAGGGGGCAACTAAAGCTTGGAAGAGTACAGTCACTTACTAAATGGATGGGCTGCCAGTCCCCAAACACAGCTTTGTTTGCCCCCCCTGGGCCTAAATATGAGCAAATGCTTTCCTTGGCCAGGAATATTCCATCCCAACATCTAAGTACTGATTCCTATCCTCCTTCATGGTCCAGCTCAAATCCCACAGCCTCCAGGAAGCCTTCCCCAAGAACCCTCCATTCAGTCAGTCAGTCCTTCCCTCCACCGGCCACCTTAGACCGCAAGTGGCTGGTTCTACTAAGCATAAACCACCTACCCTGCAGCCTAGACAGTGGAGTCTGTAGTTTCTGTCCCTCCCCAGACCCTGAGCCCCTCAGGGCAGAAGTGCAAGCTTCCTAGGTTCCTTTCATCTCTGTAACTCATGACCACCATCAACCCATGCTTCTCAAATGATGACAAACCTATTAACTTTGACACTACTCTTGGAAACTGACAACATGCTGCAAACTTTTCAACATTACTTTGGGGACAAACATAATATTACTATTACTCTCAATTTATAAATGTAAAAGAACTCCATCTCAAAACAAAACAAAACAAAACCACAAAAAACAAAGAACAACAACAAAGTTTGGAGATAAAGGCCCTAGCCTCCTGTTTGTTCTAATTCACTAACTCAATGCTTCTCTTTTTCATAGATCTGCTTGTTGATTTTTTTGCCCTGCCTCACCTGGGAGACCAGACCGAAATTCAGGGACAGCTGAAGCCACAACCTCAATGCGACAGCTTTTCTACTCAACAATCAGCTAAGTCCTGCCATGCCTTCCTGGTTCCCATACGATGAGATCACATGAAAATAAAATTTCTAAAAAGAAGGTTCCTGGCCAGCGCCTGGGGGAAGGGAAGGGATGCTCCTTCACATCAGTGCTCCGCTGCGGAGCCCAGTTTTCAGGCGGCGGAAGATGGGAGGAGAGGCAGCACACTGCTTTGGGAAGACAGCGGCATCCTCGCCTGGATGGTGTTCCTCCCCAGCTTTCAAGTCCTTTCTAGTTCTACTATTCGGAGTTATTTAGGATTATTAATAAATCTAATGACTGTCAAGGGGATAGATTTAAGCAGCTAGCAATTACCAGTATAATAAAAGCACCTGGAAACCCAGAGGTAAAGCAAAATTTATTCTAACATATACTATTTTCCTTTCATGAAAAACTACTTCAACTCTGCATAAATTTTCAGTTTTCCTCTTTGGAAGGAAGAAACGTTTCACTGCATTTGTACTACTACTAATGTACACAGATTTTATACAGCTGACCCCTTGAACAATACGTGTTTGAACTGCATGGGTCCACTTCTATGTGGATTTTTTCCAATACATACAGTGCTATAAATGTGTTTTCTCTTCCTTACGATTTTCTTAATAATATTTTCTTTTCTCTAGCTTACTTTATTGTAAGAATACAGTATATAACACTCATAACATACAAAATACAAGTTCATCAACTGGTTATGTGATCGGTAAGGCTTCCGGTCAACAGCAGGCTATTAAGTTTTTGGAGAGTCAAAACAAATTTGTGACTGCGCTGGGAGTGAGGGCCCCTACCCCTGCCACACTGTATGAGGGTCAACTATACACGTTTTCCAATTCCCAGTAAGGTAAAAAAAGAGGTAAGATCACTATCCAATTCAAAGGGGAAAAAAAATCTCATTTCCAAACTATTTTAAATTGGGAAAGCAATCCAATTTGTAACCTCAATTGCATACCTAAACAAGTAATTTATGCAGATAAAAACCATTCCAAAATTCAAAGATCAAAGAACATAATACTAAATAATGCTGGAGAAATTCCAATGCATTTAAGCAATTTTCAATGTGCCATAATTACATATTGAGAAAGAGAACACACTGCACTTTTTCTGACAATTAACAAAATATGATTTCATGTCAATAGTTAAAAGTGTAAGTAAATCCTCAAAGTACATTCTGTCCTAAAAATAATTAGTTTGTGCTCATAAAAGTACAAAAATCAGTGTTAAAAGAGATCATTTTTTTTAAAAGAACCCAGTATCTTTCCTATTCCCTAGGCATTTGGCATCAAAGAAAAATGAATGTGACAAAGTCTTCTAGGCTTTTCATTACTTTTTTCCAGAAAAATGTTTTTAAAGGAAATGTATCTTATGTCAAATAAACAACTTATACTTTTCAAACTCTCTAATACATCTAAGACCACAAAAATAACAAACATTTACCCATTTTGTTTAAATCAAACAAAAGCTAAAAAATAAAAATCTCCCTAAATGAATCAGAACTTTAAAAATAAAAGCACTCATTCTAGCAGATTCTAGTAATTGCTTTAAAGTATCACTTACTTATTTATTTTTAACTTTTTTAAAGATTTTATTTATTTATTTGACCGAGAGAGACACAGCGAGAGAGGGAACACAAGCAGGGGGAGCGGGAGAGGGAGAAGCAGGCTTCCCGCGGAGCAGGGAGCCCGATGCGGGGCTCGATCCCAGGACCCCGGGATCATGACCTGAGCCGAAGGCAGACGCTTAACAACTGAGCCACCCAGGCGCCCCTCACTTATTTTTTTAAATATTTATTTAAATAATCTCTACACCCAACATGGGGCTCGAACTCATGACCCTGAGATCAAGAGTCACAAGCTCTTCTGACTGAGCCAGTCAGGCGCCCCTAAAGTATCACTTTATTAAGGGATCTGGTCATCACTCTGGTACTGTCATCATTATAGCACATCAAACACAGCAGGGGAGAAACACGTTCGACCTCAGAACAGATTTATAGTGTTACTAAATTTAAATGTTTTCTCATCGATTCCCTTACTCAAGTTAGGTACAGATAATTTTGAATGAAACAAAAACCACCAATTAATAAGAAATATGAGGAACAGATGAACATGGTAAGCAATATGAGAATTCAATCAGCAAATCCAGACTGTGGAAGACTCAATAGGACAAACACCCTGGTTTCTTCAGTAAAAGTTACAAGGGGTAGAAAAAGAGGAATAGGAATCTATAAATTAAGAGATGAAGAGAAACATCAGAACAATCACAAAGTGTACGCCTCATTTGGATTTAAAACCACCAAATCTAAAAAAAACAAAAAACAAAACAAAACACAAAAAACCAAAACTAAGACAACTGGGAAGAATGTTTAAGTATGTTAATAACGTTACGGCATTTATAACATTATGAATTTGAAGAAAAAGAATCCCTATGTTTAAAAGATACATACTGAAATATATACAGATGAAATGCTATGCTATCTGGAATTTGCTTCAAAATAATCCTGGAGTGGGGATTTTAGGAGAAGGAATACAGAGAAAACAAGAGTGAATTTTAAGTTGATAATTATTGATGCTGCATAACGGCTACAGGCAGGTCTCTCTTATTCTGCTTTTGTACATGCTTGAAATGGTCTATATTTCAATAAAAATTTTTATTGCAAACTGAATGAAAAGACATGCTATGGGGAAAATTATGCTTTGCAGAAAAAAGCTGGGGAAAAACACACCAAAATATTCAGAAGTACTTGACTCTGTGTGGTATAATCATGGAACTGCTTGTCTACCCTTAAAAAAATTCTGTAAAAAGCACATGTAATGTATAATAGAAAGCATTTAAAAAATATGAATAGCAAATGGCTTTCAATGCCTCTCCTTTTTAAAACAATATAAGTAAAACTGGTGAGTGTCTAAGAATTTAATTTGAGGAGTAATGGAAATTATTGATGACTCTGCTGAATTTTTAAATATAGGCATACTAAAAGGTAAGGTCAGGAAACAAGCTTCCCCGAAATGTAGCAACACCTATATAAATTATTATTCAATTGATACTGTAACACTAGCCATATTTTATAAAGATACGTGTCACTGCTCTAAAATGTTCTCACTGCCAGTGTTCTAGGAAGGAATTAAATACTTCAGAAATGCCTTTCACCAGGAAACTGAATTGTAATGATCAATAAACATGAATTAGGTATGGAAATCATTATTTCAACTCCTTAATCAAAATATGATGGCTTTATTGTATACAGTTATATAATTTTATAATATTTTGCTCCTACTACTTTATGCAGTTTGTCCCCAAACTCTAAGGATTAAAAACAATATTCCTCAACTAATTTATTTATATCTGGCAATTAAAAATGGTTCAATTAGCTACTGGGAATAAAAATATGAAGGAAAATTAAAATATTTTCTGAGAAAATGGATACCCACGATGAGGGGGGAAGTATGCATCTCTGTGCACTCCCACGTGAACATGTGTTGGGCAGGAGGTAAACCACACTTCCACAGCAGGAAGTGAGTTAAAATACGAGACATAAAGTCGAATTAAAGGATACTATTTAGAAATATGTGCCATATGAAACAGGTGAAAAGTCAAAAATCTGAAATGGGAAGGAGTGGGACAAGGCACTGTTATTTTTTGTCACGAGCTTGGCATTATTATTGTTTTCAAACCATGTACACCTGGTGGACTTGAATACACCCATTACAGAAAGCACACAGCAACGGAAAAGGTCTCACCAATAGTCATAGCTCTCATCCCAGTTGTCAAAATGTACCAGGAAACGATTGTCCACCATATCTGTTACCGTAGCAACACAGATGAACGCAGGATTCTTTTTGTCTACAGCTTCAAGCTTCATTCCAACTCGAAAGCCTGACGGGATCACTGTCTACGAAACACACAGATTTAATTAGAGATAAGCACACACTTAACAGTGAGATCTGGACCCTCTCTACACCTCCCACCCAAAGACCTGGCATCCGTCAGCTGCAGTCACGTTATTTAAAGAGCATGTACTAGTTTTAGAGCAGGGTCGCTTTCCAATGAGCAGCAATGAGAAAACAATGTCCTGTTGGTACACCCAAGTCAACTATCTGGGTATCAAGACTAAACCACCCATAACCTCACAGAGTTTAGTTAATTTCAATATGTGTTTTGGCACTGCAGTTACCAGTTGGGCAAGTTTAATTCACCATATAGTTCACTTTTTGCTTTTCTTGTCCTTGATTACAGACTTAACAATGAAAATTATTTCACACAAAATATGCACTTAATCAAGTTAGAAATGTGTATGAGTCTGTGCAAGTTCACTCCCATTTTTGAAAAGATCTCTCTAAAGAGTACTCTACTGAAACTAGGTCATCTTCAGACATGAAAGGCTGTAAATTATTACAACTTTTACCTAACACTATAGATATTATTCACAAAAGCACCAAAAGAACTGGCTGAACATATATAGCCACTCAAAATAGTTTGTAATATAAGGAAAACCAAATGACCAGCCATCTGGGACATGGAACTAAGACAATAATAGCTCAGTAAGATTTAGTGCTTGAGGTGCAGTAAAATGTAAACATTCCTTAGGATCTTGTGTGAGGAAAACTATCCTAACTCGGAGAAGTGTACTGGGATATTACTAATGCCAATCATAACACACAAGTCATTTCTGCCCTTCTAAAAAAAAAAATCCTCTGCCCAGACTTAAGTATACAGATGCTATTCTAATTACTTTAAGCAAAACAAATGTTATCTCGGGCGCCTGGGTGGCTCAGTCGGTTAGGCGACTGCCTTCGGCTCAGGTCATGATCCTGGAGTCCCGGGATCGAGTCCCGCATCGGGCTCCCCGCTCAGCGGGGAGTCTGCTTCTCCCTCTGGCCTTCCTCCCTCTCATGCTCTCTGTCTCTCATTGTCTCTCTCTCAAATAAATAAATAAAATCTTTAAAAATAAAAAAAAAAAACAAAAAAAAACAAATGTTATCTCCCATTTTACTATAATTATACAGCTATCATTACAAAAATGTAGACAGCCACATATCTGAAAACGTTAGCAGATGTCTTATATGAATAGAAGGAGTAGGCATTAATGCCACACAGACACCTTGATGATACATTTAAGTCCTGAAATTATTTACCAGGGTTCTGACCACAAATATTTGAATATTCTGAGGTAGAAGAATCTAGAAATAGAAAAATTACTTTCTTCTTGGGTATCAAACTCATAGCCCAAGATTAAGCTGTGTGCTAGCAATGCACAGAATTTAAGATGATGGTTCAAGGCAATTAATCAAATCCTTGACAGAATGCATCCTCAGAGAACAGACAGGGATTAGGAGGAATCTTGGAGCAGGCCGCTGAATTTTCCACCTAACTGACCTTCCTCCCTTGTCTTGACAGAGAATACCTACTGACGACACAGTATTTACATTTCAGTAATTAAGCTCTCCTCTCAATTAAGGGATTTTAAAATAATGATCTGGCTCATTAGTTCTATTAGTTACCTAAACACACACACACACCCTCTTGAGTTCTCTAATTCGACCTGGCTTATGCTCAATTTGATCAGAGACTCTTTTAGTCATCAGACCAATGCTCAAAACAACTGGTTAAAATCATTTCCCAAATGGAAGGTATTTGGAATGGGTGAGAAAGTTTCTGCCCACTCCTAATATTCATTTCCATTTGGAGGGAACCCCATTATTGAAACATTATTGTCTCTTTCTACATTCTCACTCACTGTTACCTGACTGGTGATTCTGGAAGAAGGAAGTGGTCATACTCTTAAAAGTAAGTTGACCTACAGGGCATGCAGTTTCCATCTGCTCCTGTCCCTGCAGGGATGTAGGTCTGCCCTGGTCCAATGCTCCTGGGCTTGGGGGATGGGGCAGAAGGGTCAGGAAATCGTAATTCTAGGTCTCAGAATCACAAAGCTCATTCCTCAACAGATAAGAGGCCATGCATGTACTCCAACTGAGCCCTCATCTGTTATAAAGATGGTATTTTGGCTTTCCACCTGCTTGCTCTCTGTTAATTCCAATTAGATCAGAATGTGGACAAGAAAGAAGAGTGTAACATGTTGGGCTTCTTCAGAGATGCAACAGGGAACACGCCACGGAAAGTGGGAACACAGGTCAAAAAAGCAGGAAATACATACACATCCAGACTTTGCTTCTGTCATACGGCAAAATAAAGCTACACACTGGAGTGAAGGTAAATCATCGTCCCTAGCATGCAAATACAAACAGGGCTACACTCATCTCACTGCATGAATCCCATGTGAACAGCACTCTAAGCAAGGGACACTAACAATAAAATATCCTGCTCAATTTCAATTTTTTAAATGTACTTTTACTGTAAATCACACCAGGGTTTCATACTATGTTGCCTTCTACCCTTAAATAAAACACAATAACCATGATTTGTCTATGAAATATTTATTCATGATGATTTTAAGCAAATTTTAAAATTTAATTAAGAGTACTCTATTTACCAAAGCAATAAAATTTACTATAGTCTCTTGGTATCACTTTTAATTTAACCTACGAAACACTCAAAAGTCATTTCCCTTGAAAGGAAAAGTATTTTGGATGTACTTACTATATTCTGATTTTCAAATAATGACTTGGGAGCAGCTTGAGCTTTGCATGTCTTAAGATAGGTCTGCCAATTAAATTCTTCTTCTTTATAACCTTGGATAAGCACATATATACGGACTTAGTAAAATGTCAAAATACTTCACACTTAATTTTCCGTTCCCACTTTTAGCTATACTTCTAACATGTTGAAATCAAACAACTGATTTTTTAAAAAGACAAAATTTAACTCATAATTCGTAACTATAGATTTTCTTACACAGGCTGTGTTAATTTCCAACAAATCATATTACTTTTTTTCAATTCCAAATGAATGATAACGGATATAAAGAAAAGGTAAAAGGAAGCAAATACATATTATACTCAGGTCTGCGTCTTATTACCAGGCCATTTCTACCAGTATTTAGGTGGAACTGCTCAGCAGTAGAGGAGTAAGCCGGAGGAGTCAAAATCTTTATTTTCTCCTCCCCTGTTCTATTTTGAGAAACTCACTTGTAGGAACAAGTGGGAAACTGGAGAAAACAGTAATAAAACAGAAAAATCTTTTTAGCCTATCACCACCAGAATGACAATTCAAGATTTATGAAGTAAGCATGTTGGCAAATTACAATAATGGAAATGTCCTTGCCTTAATGCTCACAATTTCACATATAATGTTGCTGAAGCCAATATTTCCTTTAAAAAGGAAATTGAGTATTTTATTTTATCTGCTCATGTTCTCTCTTCTACTTCCACTGAAGTCCAAAAGGCAGCATTAAAAGTACAGCTAATAATTCGCCACATATAGGAGGTCAATTTATATAAAGGCATGCACATTTTCTTTTTCACCTTCATTTTTTTCTCTGTGTTTTTGTTTAATCCTTCAGCCATCTGAAAATACCATTCTGCCATTAATTTTTCACTTAAAACCAAAGGATGGCTAGTGCATGAAAAAATGAGAGTCCTGAAACAGGCCAAATATATCACACTAGTCACCTGGATCTTTGACATCAAGTAAACAATACTGAACATAACAGTTGAAAAGGAAAGAAATAAGATATTGTTAAATACATTAGGGATGGACTGAAAAGGACGGTTGTTATTCTTGGATCTTTATGTAAAAATGAAACAGGCAGAATGACTGCCAGACTGTCCTATAAAGAACTCAAGAATAAAAAATAATTGCTATTAATTCAACCCCCATCTAAACCAGCTTTTAATGCTATATTCTCCTTTCCAATCTTCTAAATATTAAGATTCATGAATTCAATGCATAATTTCTTGAGATTCTCTATATAATGAAATATCAGTAAGTAAACTTAGTCATTTAAATAGGTTAGAACTAAATTTTTCAATGTGTTTTTTCAAGGATACATGTATTTATCCATATGAATAATATGCATTTGCACAGTACAGGTCCACTTATTCATATCTTCTCTTCCTTATGATTTTCTTAATAATCTTTCCTTTTCTCTAGCTTACTTTATTGTAAGAATATAGTATATAATCTATGTAACATACAAAACATGTGTTAATTGACTATTTATATTAAGAGTAAAGCTTCTGGTCAACAGTAGGCTATTAGTAATTAAGTTTTTACCGAGTCAAAAGTTACATGTGGATTTTCAACTGTGCTGGGAGATAGCGCCCCTAACCCCTGTGTTGTTCAAGAGTCAGGTGTGTGTGGGGGTGGGGGGGGCGGCGCATGGGTGTGTGTATGAAAGAAATCTGTAACTAAAATTTGTATTCAAAATTAAGTATCAATCAAATATTATTTTATATACAAAGAAGTACATGGACATAGTTTATTCTCTTAAATAGGATTCTACTTTTTACATTTCTTTCACTTTAATGAATGTATTTTTCTTCATAAACAATAAGCTTGAATTTGGGCCTATCTGAATCATTATAAAGTCTGAATTCTTAAAAATTCCAAATCACCATGTAAGGAAAGAAGCTTTTACAGAATTTAAAATATGAAACAGAAAAGTGACAATACCTTTCGGAGGATGGAGTTTATGGCCAGTTTTCTCACACCACCCCACTGGGTGAATATCCAGAGCATCTGCATTTACCCAGAAGTCATAGCAATCAGAATATCCATCAAAGTGCAATTTTATCCGGTATCCACAAACCTGAAATAGGTAAAGCATGATGACTGACTAAAAAAACAAAAAGAAATCCAAAATACCCAGAATATCTATGTACAAAACTTACTTACAAAATAAAACAAAATCTATTGATTTCAGTGCAAGAATAAACATGGACATCGGAGCACCTGGGTGGCTCAGTCGGTTAAGCCGCTGCCTTCGGCTCAGGTCATGATCCCGTGGTCCTGGGATCGAGCCCCGCATCGGGCTCCCTGCTCAGCGGGAAGCCTGCTTCTCCCTCTCCCTCTGCCTGCCTCTCTGCCTACTTGTTCTCTCTCTCTCTCTGTCAAATAAATGAATAAAATCTTTTAAAAACAAAAAACAAAAAAAAACCATGGACATCAAGTGTAAATAGCCTATGTTAATCAAAGCACGCTCATTAACAGCAACAAAAGCAAGTGAACAAAATGACAAAAATCTAAAGGCAAAGGCGATTCATTGGGAAGAGCTGAGCTGCGGTGCTTTGGCATTCTTCCCAGTTATATTAGGAGCACACAGATACTGGGGGAAGAATGATTTTCCTACATATACACGTCCTCTCTGCATTCTTTATTTTGTACCAGCACGTATCACCAAGGAGGGCCGGCAGGGAAGGAGACGGCCCCACACAGGGTACGCAGCCCCTGCAGAGTCCCAGGGTTGACGCCCTGCTGTCCACTGCCTAAATGCTGGCCCTTAGCCTTTACAGAGCTCTGCAGACAGTGACATTTGGCCAGATCAAGGCTGGTACCTAGAGGGAAGTCAATGGCTTCTCCTCTCTACCCGTAGCTGGGTTGGGAGAAAGAAAGGCCTTCGTCAATTCATACTTAGATGAGACAGGTTCCCTGGAATGCCAGTAAGAACTCACTTTATGTAATGCATGCTGAATGCTGAGGCCATGCATCTGTCTGAACGGTTCCTCTTGGGGAAGTTCTGAGTTAAAAGGCCACATGGGTCTAGGAGGTCTCAGCTGGGTCACTCTCTGCCTTGGGCTCTTAGAGAGAAGTGCAGCCTCTCAATCTCCTTGCCACCAGCACCTCAGATGTGGAACCACACAACACCCCAGACCTCTAAACACTCCAAACCAGAAGCTTGAGACCAGAGCACAGAGCCAGGGCAATTAACAATCCCCGAATAATAAGGCAGCTGTCTATTTACTGCCACACTATTAAAATCCAAGTGGCAAAACAAACCGTACAGGATGAGTCAGTGTATGAGAAAAATTATATATACATGAATTCATGTGTATTTTTATGTGTGTGCACATATGTGATAGTCTGTATACATGTATACACATAAGTATATGTATTTATACACATTTATGTACATACTTACACATGCACATATAAATGTAAATTCACAGTAAAAAAAGCTCTGAGGATATATGCCAAAATACGGACGATTTCTTTTGTTTTTTTTTTAAAGATTTTATTTATTTGACAGAGAGAGACACAGCAAGAGAGGGAACACAAGCAGGGGGAGCGGGAGAGGGAGAAGCAGGCTTCGTTGCCGAGCAGGAAGCCCGATGCGGGGCTCGATCCCAGGGCCTCGGGATCATGACCTGAGCTGAAGGCAGACGCGTAACGACTGAGCCTGGGTCCAGGTGCCCTGACAATGATTTCTTCTGAGAAGTGGGAATGAGAACGGAGAGGCCAAAAGGGAAGGATGGGCTTTTTATATTTCATCTTCTATATGAATATTTTTTCAATTAGAATGTCTTGATATGTTACATATATCAGATTTACAACTGAGCTGACTCCCTCCAGAGAGACTAGAGTCCCTCCGCAGAGCCAAGATGGGGGGTTCCTGCGAAGTACGTCTCTGCCCCCCGCCCTATATCAACCCCACACCCAGAGGGAGCTCAGTGGCTGCTTCTCTCCTCAGTCTCAGAGCCAGGCAAGCCTACTCTGCCTCACACTCCACTGTCTCTGGTCAGTGCCTGAGAAACAATCCCCTTTTGTGACTTCTCCCTCTAGTCCCCTGGGGTCATACTGCTCTGAGCTTCACCTCCTGAGTCAACCTCCCCGCCTCCTCCTGGCCCCACAATCTCCACTGTGTCTCATGCTCTCTGGAACCCTCTGCTTTGGTAAACAATCTCCGACATCATCAAACTCCTTGTCCAAAGGCATATGTAATGCACCCCTCTCAACCCTTCCCTCAAGTGGAGACTGCTCCTTCTCCCACTTTCTATCCCTCTGAGGCTCAGGAGAGGTTACTGCCTAGGCCCCTGCTCCTGTGAGTCCCGTGTCATGTGGCTGCATCACCAACTCGTCCTTATCATCCCACATACCACCCTCCCAAACATCCTTTCTCACTCATCAGACACTAAGCTCTGGCTTCCTTTCTTCCTTTCTCTCTCCTGAGTAATTCCCTCGTGCGCACAGATGACTCATTCTGTCAAAGGACCCTGGCTCCTTGCTCCCTGCATTTCTTCTCCACTTCAGTTACTCTCCTGAATCTTGTCCCATGAGGAACTAAACTGCCTCTCAACTACTAAATTAAAACATCTAGTGCTATGAAGACATCCTCCTATTCAGTTTGCTAACCCGATTACTCCCTATACACACTTCTTCCTCAATCTCATTGAAATGTCTAGTATCTCCCAGAAGTTGATCCTTCTTTTTCCCTAGCATCTGCCCTCACCCTGAGCCTTCCTTCCCTAGCAATCACTGAGAACATTTTCTTGCCAACATTTTTTAATTGTTGGCCTCATGTCCCTCCTAAAACACATGCCTGACAAAATTCCATTACCCCCTCGATCCACCTAGTCTGCACCTATACGTGGTCTAGGGACTATTGCTGAGGGGGAAAAAAAAATTATTCACAATTTCCTGTTTGCAAATTCACCTACGTGATAAAATTTACTTGTAATCCAAAAATAGTACTCGTGGTGTTTGGGAACAGATGCACAGAGAGTGGCGAAAAATGTGAGCTGCCTCTTGTGCAAGTTCCGAGGTGAAGTCGAAGAAAGCAATGCGCTCTCTGCCTTGTTTTCCATCTCATTCTGTAAGCCAAACGCCCTTTGCATAGTCAGTTTACTGCTACATTTTTCACATTTGTGCTTTCTGTTGGCGATTTTGCTATTTAAAATGGCCCCCAAGCACAGTGCTGAAGGACTGGCTAGTGTCCCTAGTGCAAGAAGGTTGTCATGGGCCTCATAGAGAAGACATGTGTTAGATAAGCTTCAGCAGGCATAAGTTATAGTGCTGTTGACCAGGAGTTCCGTGTTAAAGAATCAACAGGCGATATTAAATAAGATGTCATGGAACAGAAATACACATAAACAAGGTTAAATATTGATCAGGTGACAGAAATGTTGTGACCAAAAGCTCACAGGAACCTAATCCTGTACTTCCCCTGAAGTAGTGGTCCAGGGTTTGCTATTTATAGGATCAACTTCCACAAATGAGAACCAAATGCACCTGTAGAGTGGACTCTCCCTCTGTGTAGCAATCCTTCTAGATAGCCATGTCCGGTTCCCACTCCCATTCTTCACAACAGCCTTTTCAAACCCTCCTCCCTCTCCTTCAGCTACCATGCCCATGACCTCCATCGTCACTCTCAGTGATTCACCTTCTGTGGTAAAGAAGCTGTCTTGAACATGTGACTCCAAACTAGCAAACCTGCCCATGCCTGTGCACACCCACCCCCTCCACCTCCACCCTGCTAGAACCCAAGAAGAGATTCCTGCTCCTGGCTAAGGCTGGGTCTCCTCATATATCCTGGATCTCAACTTCCCTTAGCCCCTCCTTATCAATTATCTGCTCTCTCTGAGCCCTCCAATCCGCTGCTCCCTAGCTGCTTTTTCAGAATTAATTCTCCAGTCTCTTCCCATTATTAAAAAAAAAAAAAAAAAAAAGGGCAGGGGGAGGGAAGAAAAAGAAAAGTAAATAAAGACTATCTCTCAGGCTTAGGCAAACAAATTCCCCCATAGTCTTGGTTAAGAATGTAACAACTGGCAAACCTTTTTGGAGCAACAAATAGCAGCATGCATCAAAAATTTAAATTTTAATCACGCTCACAAGGGCACTGTTTGTAATAATGAGAATGATGAGAAAGTGAAGACCACTCATTTGTTCATCAATATGAGAGAAATTAAATGAATTACAGCAAATTAGTAAAATGGAACACCACCCAATGCTTAAAAATAATATGTATATAAAATATAAGATACACTGTCATAAAAGCAAGCTCCAAAAATTATGTATTATACCATTTATATGTAAAAAAGAAAAAAATATACGTATATGTATTTTTACAAATAGAGAAAACATCTGGATGGAACACAGTGAATGCATAAGGGTCATTATCTCTGGGATCTGGAATAAGGAAAAGCAAGGAGTGTGATAGAGGACTTTTCTTATAATGTATATTCTTTTTTTAAAAAACTATTTTATTTATTTATTTGAGAGAGAGAGAGAGGGAGAGGGAACACAAGCAGGGGGAGTGGGATAGGGAGAAGCAAACTCCCCACTGAGCAGGGAGCCTGACACGGGGCTCGATCCAAGGACCCTGGGATCATGACCTGAGCCGAAGGCAGACGCTCAACCGACTGAGACACCCAGGCGTCCCTATTTTAATGTATGTTCTTATACTAGTTGAAGTTTTCATGATGAGCAAACATTACTATTATAGTAAAAAGCTAGACAAACTAAAATATATCTCCTTCAAAACGAGGAGTTGGAACACACACAACACACACACCTTAAAAAGATCCCCTTTTTTACAGCTAAACTTCTCAAAAGCAGTCTACACTTAACTGAATCTGCTTCTTCACAATGCTTCCTCAATTATTTAGGGAACTAAGATGAGCTAATATATGGCAAGCACTAAGCTCAGCATCTGTCCCATGGTCCTCTCTATGTAACTGTATATCATCATTATTTACCATAATTGTCATCATCCATCAGATGTTAGTGTGTTCCACAGGAGCCAAGCTTCTTACAAATTCACTAAGTCACTGAAAGAATATTATGATAACTAAAACTAATACACAAGAGATCATCTTATTCTTTTGGGGGGAATTTTTAAAGACTTTATTTATTTTGTTTTCGAGACAGAGGGCACGTGAGTGTGGGGATGGGCAGAGGGAGAGAATCTCAAGCCAACTCCACACTGAGTGTGATGCGAGGCTTGATCCCATGACCCTGAGATCATGACCTGAGCTGAGCTCAAAAGTTGGATGCCCAACCTACTGAGCCACCTAGGTGCCCCTTTGGGAGAATTTTTAAAGACACATACCCCTGGCTCAAGAGAGGGAGGAAGGTGGAGGCTAGCACAGGAGGAAAAAGTGAATTCTGCACAGGAGGAAAAAATAAATTCTAAGAAATGCTCTCAGTAATATACTAGACTGACATATATATAAATAGACTTGGACAATTTTTCCTAAAAAATTTCACAGAGGTACCTTGAAATACTAAAAAATACACAAATATCTGTTGGTCTAGTTCTTTTTCTTTTCTTTTTTTTTAAAGATTTTATTTATTCATTTGAGACACAGAGATACAGAGACAGAGAGAGAGCATGAGCAGGGAGAGAGGCAGAGGGAGAGGGAGAAGCAGGCTCCTCGCTGAGCCAGGAGCCCGATGTGGGGCTCGATCCCAGGACTCTGGGATCAGGACCTGAGCCGAAGGCAGACGCTTAACCGACTGAGCCACCCAGGCGCCCCTCTTTTCTTTTTTTTTTTTAAGATTTTATTTAATTATTTGAGAGGGAGAGAGAACAAGATGGGGAGGGGAGGCGTGGAGGGAGAGGGAGAAGCAGACTCCCCACTGAGCAGGGAGCCTGATGCAGGGCTCCATCCCAGGACTCTGGGATCATGACCTGAGCTAAAGGCAGACTCTTAACTGACTGAGGTACGCAGACGCCCCTGTTGGTCTGTTTCCTATGTGAAGGAACCACAGTACGACCAAAGCTATGGAGTCAGATGGACCTGGGGTCAAATCCTGGTTCTATCACTTTGAAGCTGTGTGGTCCTGCATACATCACTTAACCTCTCTGAGCCTCAGTTCCTTTACCTATAGAACAGGAATGAAAAAACATGACCTGCATAGGATTCTTGTAGAGATTCAGTGAGTTAACGCACAAAGCAGTAAGTACAATGCCTGGCATGAAATAAGCACTGAACAAATGGCACCTTTTCCCATTATTAAAACCCCAGAATCACCACTGTATTGCAAAAATAAAGACAAGGCAAGGCTTACCTCAGCCACAGTGAGGACACAGTACACAGACTGATGCTCAGGGTCCACACCTTCTAACTTCATGCCAACTTTAAACCCATTTTTGTTATATGGAAAGGACTGATACTAAAATGCAAAATGACAGCAGTTTTAGTATTTTATCCTGAACGTCCAATTAAAATGTGAATAATTACCATTCTTAAATAAAGACTAACAAATACATAAATAATTCTTAAAAATCCAAAAGAAAAGGACCACCAAATAATCCAACGATAAATGAACAAAGACTATACACAGGTCACAGAAAGGGAAAAGTTTTACATATCTGAAAAGATGTTCAACCTCACCCATGAGAGTCATACAAAGTAAAATTACACTAAAACATACTTCCCCTAATCAGGTTTGTCAAGATCAAAAAGTGTGGTAACACAGTGCGGGCAAGGCTCTGGGAGGACAGGCGCATACATACATCTAGCAGGGGTCGAAACCGGCACAACCTCTAACCACCTCCCAGTATCTATGCGAACAGGACATGCGGTTTGTCTCAGCAATTCTAATTCTGGGAAATTATCCAAAGAGATACCCACATTATGTGCAAAATGACAGGTGTACAAGGTCATTCACCAAAACATTTATTTGTGGTTGTTGTGTATGTGTCATATATTAACATATGTGTGTCAACCAATAGGGAGCAGCTTAACTTGTTATGGAACAGACATAAGATGTCATATTATGAATATAAAAGAATGATGAAGGGATTCATGAACTGAGATGGACTCCTTTCCAAACTAAGTTTAAAAAAAAAAAAAAGCAAAGTCTAAAACAGTGTGTATGACATGTTACCATGTGGTTGAAAATGGGGAGGACAGGATCTGTGTATATCTACTGCTTATCTGCACATACAATTTTCTAGGAAGGGGATGGAAGAACTGGTAACAGTAATCACTTATTACTGGGAGAGGCAAATCTGGGACCTAGAGGACAGGGCTCTGAGGGACATACTTCACATTCTTCTAGTACTTTTACAGGGTGAATTACATGACTGTTTTACTGATTCAAGTAATTAGGTATATTTAAACTTTTTTTAATGTAAAAAAGTCTATTCTACAAAGAATCAAAGTTACAGAAAATAATCAGATAGAACAAGTTCATACGTAATTACAATTACGTTTAAATTAAATATTCCTAATATAGATGTAATCATCATAACATTTACTATTCATCATTTTTTAAAACTGCTTATCTGAATGCATATCTAACAAGGTATCAATGGAGGATTTATTACATGCCATGATTAAATATAATTAAATAATTTAAAACAAGGTTCAGCGGACTACACTCTATGGGTCAAATCCAGCCCACAACCTGTTTTTATAAATAAAGTTTTACAAGAACATGGCCATAGCCCTTCCTTTATATATTGTCTATGGCTGCTTTCATTACAACAACAGAACTGAGTTGCTGCCACTGAGACCAGATGCCCCACAAAGTCTAAAACACAGACCATCTGGCCCTTTTACAGAAAAAGCTTCCTGACCCCAGGTTTAGCCCGGGGATGGCAGCTCCCACTCAGAACCACACTTGGTATCTATACTTCCGAGCTTAAGTCACTTAAGACAAAATGTTTTTATTACAGTTAATAAAATACAATAACCTGCTTTTAGATTTTTGTTGTGATATTATATAAACCTCTAACTCATTTTCATTTCTCCCAAAACCGTAATGTTGACATGAAATTTCATGCCAGGTTTTCTTTATCTACGAGCTTTTCGGCAGTAGTCGAGGTACCCCTCTTAAAATTACTGAGTGAAAGCCCAGTAAAGGTTGAGAGAAAGAGCATGTGTATCTCGACATGTGCCCATGCATGTGGCATGGGGGGGGAGGTGGTGGTCAGCATATATTAACGTTAGCTGCCCTCGCACTTACCCCTCCACATAAATACACTCACGAAAAACAATATGCTTGAGAAATTATCCCAAGTCACATTTCCTAAACAAACAACGCTAATTCCAGATCAGAATTCCAGAGCTTTCGCCCTTGTAGACAACGCCCTGACAGACAATGCAGACAGTGTTTTCTAGAAGAGTCCGTACCTCCTTGAAGAGCTTCGCGGGCACCGCCACAGCCTTTTCCTCCTCCAGATAGGATGCCCAGCACCAGGCTTTCTTTCCTTTAGGAGGCAAACCTGAAAAGCAAGTGAGACTAATAGGCTAGTAGGGTTCCCAAATCTAAGAAGTCAGAGGTGTATCTTGTGAAGTCTCACTTCCCGAACCACTACTATGCCGGGCCATTCTTTTACTTCCATGGCTGGCAGTTCCGTCTCCTCCTGGCCCCTCTTCCAAAGAAGCAAAAGCTAAGGAGTAAACTGTGGTGTATGACCAGTTATGATGGCAGAAGAAAGCAGCAGAAGAATTTAGAATAAATGAAGGACACAACACAGGAAACCAAGATAGAGCAGTATCATGACACAAGATGATCAAAAAATGTTTCCTGAAATCAAGAAGCTAAGGACTAAGAAGAGGCCAGTGCACTGAGTGCTGAGGGAATGGCTGCTAATTTGGGAGGGGAGGGGGTGGTCAATTCAGCAAGGGCCAGATTTTGAGCTGCCGAAGAATCTATAAGTGATAAAGACATGCAGCCAGCCAATATCAATTTTACTTTGGATTAATTTAACAAATAATAGAACTGAAAGGAAGAGCATAATATCTTGATGGGTAGCGAAAGTTATTTGGCGAATGAGATTTGAGCAGGCTAAGATGGAGCCCATGAAAAGAAAAAAGAAATTCTGAATACCTAAGGGAGAAAAAAATAAATGACTGGAGAACAAGGTCCCAGAAGAGCCAGGACCCCGAAGGTAGAAAAGCAGAAGGGAGAGAAAGGTTAAAACATTTGTGAGGCAGAGACCAGAGTGAGAAATTTACCCCCTCTCATCTCAGTGATGTAAAACAGAAGGTCATCTCCCCCAAGAATATAAGAGTTAGGCTGTGTGCCTGAGGCAGGCAGAGATAGTTGAAGCTGTCTTTGAGGAACTGAGAGATGAACGAGCAAGGAGTGCATCCACGCGGCGAGGAGGCACACTGGCTTCCTGGCCCCGGTTTGCAGGGACAACATGAACGGTCAGGTCGGCGGAGGGGCTGCCCTAACATGAAGGGCTGGCGGGCAGATGGGATGGGTCAAAAAGGCGAGACAAACCCCTACCGGAGGACACTGAGGCCTCAATGGAAATGAGCTCAGGACCATGCTGAATAAGGAGGCAAGGTCATCCAGTCAATTATAAAAGGAAAGGGTCTGAGGACTGGATTCATCATAAAAATAAAGTGTTGCCTAAGGAGCAATGACAGAAACAAAAATGGTTCCTCATTAGGAGGTTGTGGTTTGAGAGGAAACATTAAAAACTTAAAGTCTTAGGAAATGAACAAGAACAAAGGTTTTAGTCAATGTGCAAAAGTAGGAAAAAAAAAAACCTATTTGATGGAAAAATACAGGAAGATGTTTTCATGTTTGCACGGACACTACTCAACAGTTCAAATTTCCATTTTTTTCCTTATCTACTTCTTCAAAACCCTGATTTTTATTGACAAAATTTAATCAAAGAAAAACCCAAAACAGTATCTTCACTGCCCTAGTGTACATTACAATTAAGACTAAAATGTCTACCTGTGTGAAATGTTTTCCACTTCATAAAGCCACAAGTAAAACCTTTCTTTCATCAACTTACCCTGCTTCAATACAGCTGAATCACCTCGTCTTTTCCTTCGGGCTCTCTGCGAACCCCTCAGGATTCTTCCATCTTGTTTGTTCTCCTACAGCAAGAAAGGACAATTAATGATTTTAAAAGAGCATGAAACTGGCACCAATGAAAAGTTAGAGAGCTGTCAGAAAGCATTATTATTTTTTGTACGTTTCTTCAATTTCACTTCGTAACTTTTAAAGAAAGAAAGAATATAGGTCATTTGAGAACCGTGTTGCTTTTGGCCTGAGGTCATTATAAAATAAGAACGTTTCCAAGAATCACACTCTGCACCAGCACAGATACCAACCCCTGCCTTCTTGGAGCACTTGCTTCTTATAGCTCCTTGACCACTGTGTTCGGATTTTCCTCACACCCCACTGGCCTGTCTTTCTCAGTCCCTTTGCTGGTATCTCCTCTAACCCACTTCCTTTCTCTTCTCTATTGAACCCCTCTCCCTGGGTTTTAAATATCGTCTGTCTGCCAAATATCCCCAGTCTGTATGCCCTGACCTCTTCCCTGACGCCACACTCATGTATCCAACCGCCCACCTGGGATCTCCACTTGGACACCTAATGAGCATCTCAAACTCACCATGCCAAAGGACTCTAGATTCTGACCTCCAGTCTGGCCTTCCCATCCTCGATAAATGGCGTCATTATCCAGTGAACTGTTCAAGCCAAAACCTGAGTTATTCCTGATTCTTCTCTCTCCCTCACACACCGTGATGACCCTGCCTCCAACACCTACCCTAAATCCAGTGACTTCTATCCTCCATAGCCCTCTTAATGAGTCTACTGCAATAAACTGTGGGTTTCCCTGATTTCATTCTCGGTCCCACATACCAACGCTAGAGCCATCGCTTTAAAACATAAATCATATCACCGTATTTCCTTGCCCTCAACCTTCCAGTGGCTTCCCATCACACACAAAACAGAATGAAACCCCACTAGTCTGGTTTCTCATGAAGCCTTACATGGCCTGGACCTCTTCAACTTCATCTTACTCCACTCCCCCTTAACCTGTAAGGCTCAACTAAAAGGTCTTTATTTCCTCAAACAAAACACGTCACACAGGTTCTTGCCTTAGGGGCTCCCCCCCCCCCTCGCCATTCCGTTGCCCCGGGGCCTCCTCAGTCCTTCTTTTACAAAGCTGGCTCCCTCTTATCACCCAGACCACACTGTTCATGCCACCTCCTCTGGGAGGCCTCCCTAACAACCCAGCTTAAAGGAGTCAACCACTCCTGGTGCCCTCCTTTATTCTCCCACAGCACTTATCACAGGCTGCCGTGTCTCCTGTTTATTAGATGTCCCCTTAAAAGAATGTGGTGTCCCTGAGAAGAGATCCTGTTCTCCTGCTGCCGCACATCCCTGTCTTCCCAGCTCCTAGGAGAGAGACCAGCAAATAATTGGTGGCTCAACACTGATCTGAAGGGAAAGTCTTCAAGACCTCAAAGTTCACTTTTCTTTTTTTTTAAGATTTTATTTATTTATTTGAGAGAGAGAATGAGAGACAGAGAGCATGAGAGGGAGGAGGGTCAGAGGGAGAAGCAGACCCCCTGCCGAGCAGGGAGCCCGATGCGGGACTCGATCCCGGGACTCCAGGATCATGACCTGAGCCGAAGGCAGTCGCTTAACCGACTGAGCCACCCAGGCGCCCCAAAGTTCTCTTTTCATACAGGATCACGAATATATACTTTAGAAATAAGATATGTATGTTTTAATTAGCACATTCTGAATTAGTTTCCTCTAAATATACCTGACATTTGTCTGCCATTTTCTACCTACTTGCATAGTTTTATGAGATCTGCAATTTACCAAAATGGGATTGACATTTTTGCTATCGAGAGAGATTGAAGATTTTGCTGTGGCCTCTCCCATCAGTAATAAATTTCAGCACATCCTCCTTCTTCAGCCTGAGGGAGGAGTCCTAGTACTATTCCCATTTTGAAAGGTGGACAGTGACACCCAGAGGAGGGTCGGGAGGTAACTTGCCAACAGTACCATGGAGTGTCATGGAACCACCAATGGAAGTCAGTGCCTCTGACCGGGGTGCTACTCTCCTAAGAAGCACCCCCGTGCCCCTTGGTAGGTGCGCAGGAGATACTAACCATCTCGTCATCTCTCTCTTCTCCATCCTCCTTGGAGTCGGCTTTCAGAGATAATTTCGGTTTCTTCTTCCGACTACACTTAGGATCTTCTTCCTCGTTGTCTTCTCCTATGTCCCCTTCTTCCTTCTGATCTCTGTTGTGTTTATAAACCCAAAACAGTGACAGGAAACAATACCTATCAAACATCTACATGTGGATTATCATGCAACTTAAAAAAAAAAAATTATCCTCCAAGGGAAAAACATGAACCACCAGGAGAAGAGTGTAGGCATCAGAATTTCATAGCTAAGGAACACTTGGAACCACTGTCATGTGTAACAGCTCAGGGTAGAAAATGGAAATTAGCTTATATATTAATTTCAAAAGGGGATCAGCGCTGTATGTGAAACAGGCTCTAACAAGTTTAAAATCATCTGTCTTTCACATCTGCCATCCACACTAATAAAAGAATCAATTATTTAGAGATGTTTTAGTCTTCAGGGCCATTTTAATGCAAGGATCTAGCAATTATTAAGAATGACAAGTGCAACTGAAAAAAGGCCAAGTGTAACTTTGTAAAATAAAAGCTGGCCAACAAAAACAGACAATTCCCAGGCCTATGCTGGTGAAAATACATGGGAAATGCCACGAAAATATAAGGGTCAAGTCACTGCTTTGTGGTACAAAATTATATGCAAAAATGCACCGTGGTGATTAGCTGAACTTGTCAGACAGTCCCTAAATGGCCAGGGCCCACAGCACTGTCAGCCACAGAGCACACCTCTGTCTCCTAAACCTCAGTCTGCGCTGAGGTCTGAGGTCGGGCAACTCATTACACAACCCTCTACGGCCATCTTCATTCAGCTGGTCCCCGGTTTGTGGTGGCTCCGTTTCATTGGTGGAGTTTTGGGTGAGTTACCTAAGAACCCCCCACATATAAACAAAACTGCTTTTCCATAAACATCCGTATCATCAAAATGTATGTGGTCCAGAGTCACTGAAATACTCTCAGCTAGGGAGCACATGAGGTCATCAAAAGGCTGAAGAGACACAGGTCACCCTTGCAGACAGGACTTATGCAGTACAACTCAGACCAGACATGATGGAAGTAATGGGGTCAGGGTCCACGCGTCTCTAAAGGAAAAGTCTCTGGGGGAAAAAAAGGGCATGAGTGGGGGACAGATGTCAGAGCGCCTCTGTATTCCCAAGCACCATGACATTGGACTCTAAAACCCGTTTTACAGATGGAACAGGGCAAAAACCTACTTGTCTTTGATATGCCGGGCACAATTCTGGCTGCAATAGCTTCCTCCAGAAAGACACTCATCTACATTGCCATAATGACAACAGTTCTCACAGAATTGAAGCCCTTCTACTTTCACTGGATCCTTCAACCTGAAAGGCATCCCAGTCTTCTCCGAAAAGACTAGAAGACGAAAAGGAGGAAAAAAAAAAAACAAACACAAAAACAGTGAAAGCCATGACAGAAAACATTCCAAAATACATTTACACTTTTTCCTCTAATAATTTTGTTAGCGACACAATAAAAGAATAATGTTTGTTGAATGAATGAATGACCGATCTATAGTTCGTGGGAGGGGGAAGAGAATGGACTTGGCTGGAATCATTCAAATCATTTACCCAACAAAAAATATTCTGCAGAAAAGATAAAAGTTTATCCAAGGCTTTTTCTACAGAGTTCAAAGTAAAATAAAGAAAATTTCATTACTAAACTCGGAAGATGAAACTGTCAACCTACAGAATCCTATTTTATAGATGTATCTTTGACACAATTTAAAAAGGGTCATCTATGTTGTTTACCTTTTGATGAGTGGCTTTGTTCTGCTAAATTGGCTAAATCACCACCGATGCGACTTTTCATGTAAAAGGTCTCCTAAACCATAATGATCCAAATCATTTAGGAACTCACGCTTCCTTTTGCCTGAATGTGTTAGGCTAATCATTCATTCAGCAAACATGTATTAGGCACCAATTTACGCTAGACACTGATAATGATAGTACAGACCCTGCCCAAGAGAGCTCACAGTCTAGAAGAGAAGACAGGCAAGAAAACCAATATTTATAAAAAAATGTGATACATGCAATTAAAGTATGAACAAGTTCCAGAGGGAGTACAGAAGAAGTGATTCACTCGGCCTGGACTGAGGTCAGGGAAGGACTGTCTCATATAAAGCCTCAACTGGGTTTTGAAGACCCAGAGGCATTTACCAACTGGACAAAGAGAGAACTGGCACCCCGGCCAGAAGAAAGAGCAGGGGCAAAGGCAAGGGAGCACAATACCACATGATGTGTTGGGAGAACGACATGGAATTCAGTGCTGCCAGCCCTACCAGGACACCGTGTACGGACAGAACAGAGAGCAAAGACACCGCAAGCCCGTGGGTGGTGCCACCCAGATCTTTGTATGTTCGGCTACAGAGACAATAAGAAATCAGTGAAGTGTCAGGTAAGCCATCTACAAAAGTTCCTCTGACTTCAAGGTGTGGGATCAATTAGGTGAAATTAGCAGCAGAGTGATTCTCGAGGTGGAGTCTGCAATAGTTCAGGTGAGAGCTGACAAGGACCTACACTGAGGCAGTGGCGCTGATCGTTAGGAGAAAAAGCCAGATCTGAGACGTACTTAGGAAATAAAAACCAAGAGGGTTGCGTAACAGGCCATGGGACTGGGGGAGGACAAATTCAGGATGACTCCTAGATTTCTTACTTGTCCACTGGGTGGATGGTGCTACCACCAACTGAAATATGGGTTATAGAAGAGCGAGCAGGTTTGGGGGAAGGGAAGAAAGAAATAGAAAATGAATCGCATTTCAGACATGTGGAGTTCGAGGTACCTGTGGGACATCCGGGTGGAGATGTCCAGTAGGCAGGTGGAAATACGGGCCTGGAGCTCGGGGGAGAGGTCGGGGCTGGAGATATAGATTTAGGAGTCATCAGCATATAGGTGTTAGTTACAACCATCGGAGTAGATGAGAAAAAAGTGGCAGACTTTTGGCTAAATCACCTGGGTAGGCTATTACAACACTGGATTTACTTGATAATTTCCAATTAACCTTGTCCTATTACAGATCTGGCATTAGGAAAGAAGACAGTTTATAGTTATTTTAAAATATAAAAGTTGGTTCCATATGAGTTTTGTTATAGAAATTTACTTAAGAACACATGACATGAAAATCACCCAGGATTTTCAAAGTTCCAGCCTATTATAAAACCAGACAGTCTTATTTTAAAACTCTCAAAAGAAAGAAAGGCCCTGCAGACGACCCATTCTTACCTTCTTGAGCAGTTGGTACCATCCAAGTTGTGGTAGCTGTTGCTTTTTTCACGTTTTCCATCTCACTCTCATCTGTGATAACTTCCAGGGCTCCAAACTCGTTCACCCGAAACTAGAGACAACATGGTGGAAAGAGGCGACATTTACAAAACCACTCAAAATGGTAATTGTTTCATGGCTGACCGTATAGTCTTTAAGCAAAGTAATTATGCTTTAAAAGTTCATTTCAGCAAATAGATCTAGATAAGCCCTCTACTAATATTAAGTCCTTTGCATTTTACTAATTTGGGGATTCGGGGAAGGGAAAACAGAACAAAAGCAGCAAGGTACTTCTTCGAGTACGATAACCAACCAACCCTACACTGTGTCAGTAGAACTGACTGCTCACTCCATGTACTCTATAAATTCAAACACCAGTTTTTGCTAGGACTTTTTTTTTCTTCCTTATTTCGTATTACTACTTACTTAGTAATCAAAATTAGTAAAAGAAGAATGACTGTTTTCCCAGGAATCAACTTGTCTCACCCAAGTTCACCTAGGCCAAGAGAAAGAAATCTCTCTTCCAGAAATAATGACCTGCACTCGCATCTCCTTATATTTCCAAGATGTAGATGAGGAAGGCTGATGTGTGACCATGTGAGCCCCAGCTCCATACTTCTTTCTTTCACTGCTTTTTGGAATTCTCCATCCTATTCACCTGGAGTCCTCCAAAACAACTGGTAAAGTCTATGGAGATCTGAACAAATCTACTAGCTACTGGCCAATGCTATCACTAAAAATTATAGGCATTTTGATTTCATGGACATTTTGATTCCAAATATTGAAAATTTCCTCTCATCTCATGGCAAGCTTCAAATCAAATATGTTTCTGCAATAGCCTGGTTGTACTGTGCATGTGTTGAAGGCTTAACTACTATCTACGTGCAGGGACCCCACTCCCCCAATCCCCTTTGAAACAACTAAGTTTTCTCTCCTATTCATGAAGTTCAAAGTTTTCCACAGTCCTCTATTTTTCCATAAAATAAAATAACACCAAGGATCCACTAATTTTGACAGCTGATGAAAAACTGGAAAGCTCACGATTCAAAAGATTATAAAACTTTTTTGCTTAAAGTTTTTAGATCTTTCGCAGAAATATGGATGAGCATGCCAATATGTAGTAGGAAACTTAAGACCTTCCACTCCCCAATCTAAAACATCTATTTAGTCAACATGCCCACAGGAGGATTCATTTAATCATTCAGACTACCAGTCAGAAAAAGCTGAAGCAAAAATTACTATTCTTTCCACCAGGAAAACACGGCACCTTAAAAAATTTTATGCATGTACTCTACAGTGATTAAAAGCTCTTTAGGCCGACAAAACTGAAATTGTTAATAAAAGTGAAAATGTTTTCTACTACGTATTTCAGATAGAAGTTCCCAGCTAACATGTGTTTACTATACCTAGTGTGCTCACCTAAAAATATCAGTCTAGGAAGTGGCAAAAAGGTAACTGAGAGGAAAAGAGCTAAAAATAACTTTACTTTTTGGAAAAAAACATTTTAAATGGTCTACTCTGAAAAGGGAGTATTTCAAAATAAAGCTGACAGTACCATCTACTGGGCAAGAGTAGAAAAAACAAGCCATAATGTTACTAATTAATGATATTAAAGAGTAAGACAAAAAATAAATTCTGCATGAAAGTTTAACAAAACAATAGGCATGACCTTTGTCATTCAGTTCAGGTAAGTAATTTTACTTTTATTATATGCTGATGTTAATTTACACCTATTTGAAAACTATAAAATGTGAGAAACAGCACCATTTGCATTACACTGAGAGTCTCCTGTGGTATTAAGTTTCCAAATTGCCGCTAAGCTGGGAGGCACCCTGCATTTCCAACACTGAGAAAGAGAACACCACTCAGTGGAATCTTTAAATAAACATTCAGAGTTATGACACTTGGAAGCTTTAGGCTCAACTACTCTCAAAGTTAAAAGATAATATTCCCACAATACAACAATTAATCCCAATTATCTTTTCCTTCTAATACTTATTGCCAGGAACTGAACTACAGCCAAAGTACAAAGTAAAGATGTCACAACACTCAGGGACACAACTAACTCCTGTAAGCCAGGGATCCATAGTTGGACTTCAGGAGATTGATGAATCCCATGAAATACATGCAAAATTACGTCAGGAGCACATATGTATTTTTCTGGGGATCGGGTTCATAAGTTTCATCATATTCCCAAAGGCATCCTATAACCCTGAAAAAGTAAAGAACATCTCACCAAAGTTACTTTATCTCAAAAATTAACCTCCAAGTGTTTTCAAAGTATCCTATTGTATGCAAAAAGACATAGGGATTAATTTTTTTTTTTTTTCTGGCTTCTCAATTTGGATTTACTGTCTTTCACAATGTTGCTATTGTAGAAAATGCTGGACCACATAGGCTGGTAGGTGCTGCCAGCATTACTGGAGTTCCACAGATGGAATTCCAGAAAGACTGACACATTCCCTAACATTTTTTTCCCCCAATAAAACCCTCAGGTTCTGAAATGGGGAATGCTTTTATGAATGGTTTTAGAGCCATGGAGGCTTGAAATAATCCCTCTTATTTCTTTTTTCAAAGTTATTAGTTCTTTTAACTTAGGCATCTAAAAAGCAGCATAAAAATTTATTGAGTGGCTCCATTCCATAATCAAGAACATCAAAATTATAAACTTTACAAAAGAAATTTATTAAGCACATCAAACACATCAGCTGACATTGTAATTTGTTCTGTTAGTGGATACAACTAGGTCAGTCAGAAAACAATTATACCTGAAATATACAAGGGGTTGCAAAGGTTGGTTTGTTTAGCTTGGCTTGAACTACCTTTAATTGATTCAATTCTCTTCTTTATTTTTTCTTGTAGAGGCAAAGGATCCTTCGCTGATTTTTGCCCGTCTTTAATAATAGATCACTAAAAGACGCTGCCGAGGTTACTATTTTTGTTTTATTACTTTCCATGTTGAAATGTGAGTTCT